TTTAATATGTGTATGTAGTGTATTGTTGTTTGCAGTAATATATAAAATGTCATTACTAAATTTTTTTTCAATTGCATGTTGTAAATAATTGTTTATATCAGTCAGMRGGTAACATCCTGTTGGTATTGAAAATTCTTCACCTCCGAAATAGAATTTATTGTTATCTTCATCAATATTGGGTATACTATTATAAACTTCAAAATTTGTAACACCCAATTCATAGGTGCCGTCACTAACATCAATCGGTGGATTAAAGTCTGCACTTAAAATGGCAGATTTCCCCGTGAGTACAAACAACATCTTTTTATCAACTAAATCGATATTACTCAAGTATGTCTATATAAAAACTTTAAACATAATTGTCCACAATTGTATGTACCCATTTTTTTGATATCTATCATAATTGTATGTAATTTTATTACCATTGTTATCACTTTTGAAATAATTTATAACCTCTACAGGAGGTTTCAAATTTCCCATACTATCAAAAWATAATATATGTTTTTTCTTTTTTATATATYCTGTCCAATGGGTTCCACGATTTTTTTCATCGTCTAAGTTTATAATACCAGTTTCGTTTGTCTTTATAGTTTTCGGTAGTTTATTACGCATATGAACACCTCTAAACTTTGGTATTTTTAATAGTCGAGCGAATTCAATTATTTCAACATTATTGAGAGCGTGACGTGGTAATTTTATTGGTAGTTTTTTTTCTGATACCATTTATATGGACCAATATATAGACCTTTTCCTTTTTTTCCTACGCCTTTGCCGCTGCGCATTTCCATTGCTTTATTATGTCGCACTGTTTCCTCCAACATTTTTTTATCTGCCGAAGCTTTATTTACCGCAGTTGCAATGCCCGCTGCTCCTCCTCCTAAAGCCCCTAAAGCACCCAACAATGGTAATAGAAATGGTAAAAAACCACCGTATTTAGGAGCAATGAGAATTCGTTTTTTTGTAGTCTTTTTTCTACCCTTCTTGCTTTTAGCACCCAATCCAAATTTTACTTTTCCTTTCATTATACCACTAATAGCTAATGCAGCTGCTTTTTCTCCAAACGACGCGTCTTTTGCTTTTAAACGTTCAACTGCTTTACTTATTAAGACTTTGTCAGCTTCAAGTCGTTTTTGCAAACTTGTTTCCTTAGAATATGCTATATCGTGTTCCTTACAAGCTTGATCTAATTTATTCCTACCACTATCACCTCGTGTAATTCGTTCTTCTAATTTAGTTCCTGGGCCACAGAACTGGTAACCAGGTATATGTAATTCAATCGGTAATTTATTGATTAATTTATTTATTAGACCCCAACCACTCTTTGACAGAGTTGAATCACTACTATGCTTAGAACTACAAGTCTGTTTCTTATATAACTTCATTTATTTAATTATTATGTATGTATACAGTAAAAAGATCATCTACATACTAATCAATTGTACAGTATTATTTTTCTATATATTTAATTCTTATTTCTAATTTCATATATAAACACTAATCTAATTCACTTTTCCACACCACTGTCTGAATCATCTTCAAAGTCACTTYCTGAATCATCATATATCACTCGTCGTTCTATGCAATTCCACCAAACTTTCTCACTTACTGTTTCAACTCCAATAAGTCCACACAATATAGTGTGTTCAACAATCAACACATTACACCTAAAACATTTAAAGTCTTCCTTTTGGTTAAGATGCGTGTGGTAAATATAAAATGTTCTTCCCAATGTTTTTAAACACCATTTGCAAATATACTTGTCCWTAAAAACATCTTCAGGCGACAAGCAAAAAAGCATGTAGCAATAATTGTTTTCTGAAAAAAATTGCATTTTATTACTATACTTCGGAATTCTCATACATACCAAGCTGGATCTCCATTTCGATCATTATACATACACAATTTTAATATTTTTTGCTTCAGCAGGATCTARTTCAACACCTTTAAAACATGYCACCTTGCAATTATGACAAGTAAATCCATATGTTTTGACTAAATTTTTGAATTCTTCTTCGTCACAAGTGACATCAATTTTTATATTATGAATCCATCCTTCTCTATTAGTTTCATATCTTTCAGACACACTACACGGCTCACACACTATGATTCTATTAAAAAATCGTAACCAGTCACATTCAAAAAACATATGACCTAACTGATTTTGATGACATATTTCTTCAACAATTATCACACCATCACAAGTAAAACGATACCACATTTTACTCATAGTTGTGTTTTAAACTTGAATTCAATTCAATATATTTACACTCCCACCACATTAACCATAGAGCATGTTTGTAACCTTGAGGTAGTAACCTTGAAAGTGACAGACCTTGAACGACAAAGTTGACCTTGAACGAGAGAGATAAACAGTGTGGCCTTGAACGAGGATGTTGACKTCGAATGAGAGAGATAGATATAGTGCGACCTTGAATGWGGACGTTGACCTCGCGGCCTTGAATGAAAGAGTGAGACAAATACACTGTGACCTTGACCTTGACCGTCTCAAGGTCAAGGTTGTGTTGTGTACCCCCCATTCATACTCTACTTAAACGTTATAAAATGATTTATTCACAAAATGATTATAACTTGTTCAATTCTCTCAGAACATTATGTAAAACCTCAGCTGAAAACTGTAAACAAAGATATTTTCATGATATAGAACAAAACATTATTAGTAATAATAAATCATTTTAGAATTACATAAATAGTAAGAAAAATAATCATGGTATACCCGAATCCATGTTTCTTCAAGATGCTAAGTCCAATACACCTTTAGGTATTGCTAAACTGTTTGCTGCAAATTTTCCAAAAGTATATTCCAATGTTTGTTCTTGCAAGAATTATGACACCCCATCTGAACCTACTGCCTTGCTAGATTTAAGTACTATTGAATTTTGTCGTGATACAATTTTGAAAAAACTAAATGCTCTTAAAGATTCAGTGAAATTAGGTCCTGATGGTGTCTCATCATTTTTTCTAAAATCATGCTCTCACAATCTAGCAGTACCTTTACAAATACTGTTTTCAAAATCTGTAATATCTTTTCATTGTCCTAGCATCTGGAAAGTTTCCTGTATTACACCGATTTTCAAAAACGGAAATAGACACAATATCGAAAATTACAGATCCGTATGTATTGGTTCTTCAATTTTTAAAATTTTAGACTCTTATATTGCAGATTTTTTATCATTTCATACTAAACAAGTTGTTATGGATGAACAACATGGGTTTATAAAGGGTAGATCCACTGTAACAAATCTTACCCTCTTTACTGACTCTATAATAAGAGACTTGGAAGCAGGTCGTGACGTCGACTGTGTATATACCGACTTAACCAAGGCTTTCGACCGAGTTAACACAAACATCTTAATAAATAAGCTTCTTAAAATTGGTATAGGCGATCCACTATTAACTTGGATTACATCGTACTTAACTGATCGAAAACAGTATGTAATCATAAACGATAATAAGTCACAGTGCATCGATGTGCCTTCTGGTGTTCCCCAAGGATCACACCTAGGTCCGATATTATTTTTATTGAATATGAACGGTGTAAATAAAGTGATACTCCACAGCAAATTGTTATTGTTTGCTGATGATTTAAAATTATTTCGGGCAATTGACAAAGACAATGATTCTGAGTTATTGAAAGAAGACCTTAACTCTCTTCTTTCTTGGTGTTCTCTAAACGGCTTAGAACTTAATGTCAAAAAATGTAAGGTGTTAAATTTCTCAAAAAAACTCTTATGCAACACGCCACTACTTTTTAGGTAGCGAAGAACTAGAAAATACTGAACATTATTGCGACCTGGGTGTGACCCTTGACAGTAAATTAACTTTTAAGTATCACATAGACAATACTATTTCAAAAGCGAATAAAATGCTTGGCTTTGTCCTGAGACAATCTTCTGATTTTTCTACTATTCGTGTTCTTGTGATATTGTTAAATATTTCGTTCGAGCCATCTTGGAATATGCTAGTACTATTTGGCGTCCTTATTACCAGTCGCATACTATAAGATTAGAAAGAATTCAAAAGAAATTCGTCAAATATTTATGTTACAAATTTAATATTATTTATTCTCGTAACAACTACGATGATATTTTGTCTTATTTTGGTTTGTCATCACTAAAGTTCGTTTCAAATATCTTGATCTTTGTTTTATTTTTAAGATTTTGGCTGAAGCGTGGATTTCCTCAGTGGTAATCACCAAATTAAGATGTCCCCAGATTCCATAAAATACACAACATTCATAACTCCAGATGGAAAATTCGAATACCTAAAAGTTCTGTTTGAACTATCCACCGCACCCTTTATGCCGTAGATAATATTTTAGGGCCTCTGCGTTTCACAAAAGTGTTGGTGTATCTTGACGATGTATTACGTAATTCCGTCCCGTACAATTGAAGAAAGCTTACAAATACTGTAAGAGGTACTTACAGTCTACAAAAAAAATAATGTCACCTTAAACGTATCTAAATGCGTCTTTTTTCTAACGAAAATTAAGTACCTAGGCTACACCATCCAAGATGGCACAATTCAACCCAGTCATCAACAATTTTCCTATCCCCAAAGACGTTCATTCAATTCCTAGGTTTGGTCGGTCATTTTCGGAAATTTGTCCCTCATTTCTCACAGAAGTCTAAACCTCTTACAAATCTTCTAAAAAAGAACGCTTCTTGAGATTGGACGACAGAACAAATGAAATCGAAGAACCGGTTATATTAGAAATGTTAGACGAAGAAGAAGCTGCTGAAGAAGTCCCACGAGCTCCCTTACCTCGTGCTGATGCCGTAACAAGTTTGAGTAATGCACAATTCAAAACAATGTTTCGTTTGTTAAAATAATTGTTCAACATTGTTATGGAATTATAGTGACTCCTTTTATGAGACCATCTACTAGACCAACAGATTTAGAGATTCCTATTCGTGTTTTGACTGCATTACGTTTTTTTGCTTCAGGCAGTTATCAAATGAGATATTGGTTCAAATCGTTTCATGGCAGTGTCCCAGTCAAAAGTGAGTAGGTGTATCACTGAAGTTTGCAATGCTTTAAACAATCCAGCAATTTTTGAACGTTTTATCAAATTTCCAAAAAATTTTGAAGAACTGAATAAACTGAGAATTCAATTTTCACAAAAATATGATTTCAATGGAGTTGTAGGAGTTATTGATTGCACTCATGTTGGCATTATCTGTCCTACTGGTAATGATGAAAAGCGACCAGCACAAATTTATACCGGGAGGGGCATCGGTTACGCCCAGAAAAGAAATCCCTACTTCTAATTAAATAAAATTGTTGAATTTTTTCACACTTACCTGGGCATTAGTAAGGTACATTCTCTAATTTTTTGGTAATTTTTCATTTACAAACAAAGCCAAAAAAAATAATAAGTAATTTTCTCCCAAAAAGTTTAATTTTCATTTTTATACTGACCTACGCAGATTCACTTCCTACAATTGTTTATAAAATCAGAAAAAAAAATTCCAATTAGATTTTGAATTAAACGCAATTTCCCATATTAACTTCGAAAATCATTTTTATTTATGACCTGGTACTTGTGCCATCGTAAATTTAGGTGACAATGGGGAACTGCAATTGGGGTAAGATTCCAAGGTTTACAACAAAAAGACCCTTTAAAGCGGTCGGCTACCAGTAAATAATTCTTTTGTTGGCAAATTATACCATTTTGTCATAAATCACGGGTCTGGTTTGTGTTTAAATAAAAAAAAAGCGATTATTTGGATAACCAAGTCAAAATTTAAAATTGTGATATCAAAGTTTGATGCGCTGACAGGTACAGATTCATTTAGTGTAAAAACTGTATAGGTAAATTAACAGAAAGTATTCATAAAACACACAAAACTATTACGGACTCATTTATTATCCAAAAAAATTATACCCTATCAATAATTAGTTAGGTATTATGAAATATCGCCAGTTTTAATTAGTTTGAAGTTGCGATTTATCAAGTGCGCGTAACCGATGCCCCACCCGGTATTAATCGTAAAGGATATCACTCATTAAATGTTCAATAGATTCTAGATGAAAATTTCAAAATTTTAAATGTAAATGCTTAATATCCTGGTGGTACACACGACGCTTTTATTATGGAACATTCACAAGTGCAACAAGTGATAAGAACAATTCATGCATCTGGATGGGGAACATATTATCTCATTGGCGATTCTGGATATCCCTTACGTCCTTGGTATTAATTACGTCCTTGGTATTAATTACACCCTTGGAAGAGCACCAGCAGCCAAATACACCTGGATATAATTACAATTCTCTATTTAAGAGGGTGCGAAGTATAATTGAATGCGTGAATGGCCGTTTGAAAACTAGGTTTAGATGTTTATTGAAACATCGAGTGCTGCATTATACTCAGTAGATAAGCTATGGGCGTTCTAGCCCAAAATCCCATGTATTTTCTTATGGAGGTTCAAATTAGCGTTCAAGGTCATTCGTTTCCCCCACTACCAATGTCACGTGACTATGAGGTATGTAATGTTGGTTGCCTAGTAATATTAGAAGTATAATGGCGGGAAATTCAAATTTTCAAAATAGTGACAAACTTTCAAAAATGGTGGGAAATTCAAATTTACAAAATGGCGGCAAAATTTCTAGATGGCGGCAAATTCAAAAATTTCAAAAGTAGCGAGAAAAATTCGAAAAATACAAAATTTCAAAAAATTGCCGTAAAAATTTCAAAATTTCAAAAACGGCGGCAAAAATTTGAGAAATTTCAAATTTCAAAAAAGTGGCGGCAAAAATTTCAAAAAATGGGTCAATGAGCGATAAATTCAAATAGCGGGAATTTCTTTTTTCTTATGAATGAATCATGTATGAATGCAGGAAAAAAAAAATACATTTTATATACATAAAACATTTATTTTTAAAACTTAGGTATTGTAGTATTAGTATTACATTCAAAAAATCAATTATTATATTCAATAATACATTATAGTAGAACTATAATTAAAAGAAAATTGAAAGAAATGGAAAGTCCTTCAAGTTAGATCTGAGTTAATCTGAAAAAAAAAGAAAATTTTGAGAAAAATATTACAATAAAGAAAAAACACATACCTACTTATTATTCCTTTCATTAGGAGTAATACGTTTAAAATCATAAATATGTGCGGTAAAATCATTAGGAGAAAGGTTTTTTAGACCTTTATAAATTAATGTAGTTCCTTCCCCATCTAATAATGAACTAATGATGTCTTGAGTAAGGATAGGTGTCAAACGTTGTGGTAAAAATAATTTACCCATCCCTTCTAAATGTGCGACAGACAATAATCCATTCTTCGTATGCGATTGAGAAATATTGATGATTTTGTAAGGTTTACCAACTTCCAAATCAGTAGGATGTATAAACTGATATTCAGGGGGATACTCGCAAGCAGCAATTTTATTTAGGGTATCCAGAGAAAGCTCCATAGTTTTTTGAAATTTTTGAAATAAAAGACCGCGAAGCACATACGACTTGTTAGCACGACGTTAGATAGCAGACTGACTAACTAATGACTAATGTAATACTAAAGTTTGCGGTTTAGCTAATCAGAGGATTTTTTTTTGGTGATAGATAAGGAATTTGTATATCTATAAAGGATGATGTAATTTCCGCTTGCAATAAAAACGCAATTTGAGAAATAATACATATATTTTTATTTAATAATTTATTTAATTTAAACTACATTTAAATCATATTGTGTATTATTAACACCAAATTTCTCTTTCAACTCTTGTGGTAGATATGGTATCAACTCTTCTATAAATCCATCSATTCCACATTCTTCTAATAATTGGCATAACGTGTTAATATCAATATTGTTTGTTAGAAAACGTTTACAAGCGGTGATTCCTTTCTGATACCGTTGCTGTAAATCTTCTCCAAATCCGATATCATCAGCAGTATATACATAGGAGTGACTAATATCAAAAATAACATCTTCTAATAATTGTTGCAATCTTTGTACAGCAGATTTTAAATTAAACGGCGTTGGTAATCTGTCATCCATCATCTGGATCCTTACACTTTTCTAACAATACTGATAACAAATTTAACTTCCGTTTCGTTTGAAATTGTTAAAAGAGTAAGATCAGTGTGTGATTCCTTACTATGAGTACTTTTTTTTATACTAATAGCTTCTACTTCAGGGTGTAATTCAGTTGTAGACAATCCACTACATGAATGAAGCAAATGTCTATTTAAGCTGTATTTTCGCGTGAATTCTTTGCAACACTGATCGCACTTAAARATGAATGTATGACTATTCACTTCAACGATAAAACAATAAATGTGAATAATCTAAAAAACAACATAATTAATAGTTAAAATTATAGAATCACCTAATTAATACACAACCTCTTGCGTATGAGGATGTATACAGACTAATTTGAATTGAAGACTAGTAACTGTATTTAATAAAAAAAATATTCCTACTATTCACTACACTAATTTGAAACTTTTATATAATAGTTTAATATCTAAATAATAATTTACCTACATTAACAATAAGATTTTTTTTTGAGTAATCCACATAACTAAATAACTTATTAATCAAGTGAACAACTAATATAAAGTAAAAATAGATATGTAATAAAAAAAATAATAATAATAATGCAGAGTTTGTTTTGGAGATAACCTATTTAAACGGATGTCGATGGTCGTTAGAAAGATAAAACGTTTATTTTTTTTAAATTATCTCTCTAACAAGTCCACTTAAAGGTGTATAATCAATAACTTTATCTTGAACAATTATACAAATAGCACGAGTTTTTTGGGGAAAATTTTCATTACTTTCAAATTCAATTTTAACGTCGATTGTTGATGATTTAAGTAACTCATCATGTTTTGAACAATCGGTAATAAATAATGCTCTACTTGCAAATACTGTATAACTATTTATAACATTAGAAAGATTATGTTGGCTTAAGATTTTAGAAAGGTCAACATATGCTTGATATGCATCAACATATTGATTTTGCTCAAAATTAAGATTATATGCTTCATGTGGGTACATCTGTGAACCKAACCAAACACGATAATTTCTCAAGTTAATATGGTTAAATTTTGAGTTACCCTTTTTTTCATTATCTTTAATGTCTGTTTGGAAAGCCAAAATAACATATCTAGGGCTTTCGATATTTGTCGATGTTTTAATACTCCAAACTTCTTTGTTAGTACCTGTACTTAATGCAGGTAATTCAAACAATTCCCATTTACGAAAACCAATACTTATGGATTTATCTGATTTCATCTG